TCTATGCATATTAATTACCTAATTTGCATGATAATTAGTTAACTTTCAGCTGTTCCATGAGTGTTACACTGATATCTGAAGAATCACTCATTGGATTTTGATGAAACTTGGTACATAGATGTTCTGAACTTATGTGCAGATTTGATTAGTTTTTGGTAAAAATCTGTGCATATTAATTACCTAATCTGCATGATAATTAGCTAATTTTTAGCTGTTCCATGACTGCTCCACTGATATCTAAACAACCACTCATTGGATTTTGATGAAACTCGGTACATAGATGCTCTGAACTTATGCACAGATTTGATTAGTTTTTGGTAAAAATTTGTGCATATTAATTACCTAATTTGCATAAAGATTAATCGTTTTTTCCACTGATACCTCAAGTACTAATCATCACATTTCAATGAAACTTCTGCACAGACCTGATGGTTTTTAGGGTAATATCATTACATATTAATTACCTAATTTGCATTATTAATTAATTTTCAGGTTTTGATATTTCTAGTTGTAAGCATTACATTTCAATGAAACTTTGTACATAGATACTCAAGGACTATGCAGAGACCTGATTAGTTTCAGGGTAATTAATTCTGCATATTTATTACCTAATTTGCATAATTAATTAATTAATTTTCAGCTTTTCCACTAATATCTCTAGTACTAATCATCACATTTCAATGAAACTTTGTACATGGATGCTGTAGGACAATGGACAGACCTGATTAATTGTGGGTTAAAATCTGTACATATTAATTACCTAATTTGCATAATTAACCAATTCTAAGCTATCACACTGATATCTAAAGTACTAATTATTCCATTTCAATAAAACTTAGTACAAAGATGCTCTAGGACAATGTACAAACCTGGTTAGTTTGGGCTTAAAATTTGTTCATATTAATTCCCTAATTAACATAATGATTCATAATTTTTTAGTTCTAATCAAATTTCAATAAAACTTGGTACATAGATAGTCTGTTACACTGCGCAGACCTAATTAGTTTTACACTCAAATCTGTTCATATTAATTTTCTGATTTGCATAATAAGTTTTCAGTACAAGTAATTTCGAATTATATTTAATGTGTCTCCATACTCTCAGCATATGGGAGTTCTTTCTAAGCTTTCTTTGATTTTTCTTGTGTAAAAAATGGTGAACATCCTGTATACATTGTGATTTAATTAAACTTTAAGTTGGTATTATACCGGTATACACAATCAGGTTTTTGACTCACCTGTGTTAATTAAATAATAAAATAAACATCCCAAGAACCAGTCATATGAATTTTAATTAGCTTGATTTACTTTTGATTTTATTTCAGTTTAATGTATGCCCACCATCTAAATGTATATCAACTGTGGGAACCAGAACAGATCTCTTTCCACGTGACATTAAAATGGTTTTAATAACAGACTTCTTTGGATCAGTCCGCAATGTGGAATTGAACACATCAACTATTAGTCTAGTGAAACCTAATAAACCACTCAAAGATACCACCAGAGTCAAGAAATCAGCTTCAATGAAATTTGCATCTCAGATTCCAAAACACTATAAAGCAGACAAGAAAAAGGTGAGTGGCATACAGTGTCTACAATTTTTGGAATTCTCTGGTTACTTGTACTATGATACGCATTCTGTCAACAGAATTATGCAGTCAAATATTTCACTTTTAGACTGGACAATCCATCAACTTCTTGAAAAATCTAATTTCATCAACTTAAGGTTCTCAAAATCATATTTGAGAGCAAGTGAAATGACCGTTTATGAAAACCGTTATTAGCTATGAGATAAGTTATTCACACAGGTGTAATGATGTAAAATCTATGGTGTTATTCCTAAACAGATTGTTTAGATTCGTTCAGTATAAATTCACTACGTTCAATTACCCACCATATATCGTGGTCAGTCAAAATGACTATTTTGAACTGTAGGCATTAATCTGCGATTCAGCCAATGACGAAGAGAGAAATCTAGGTCAGGGGAAGCCCCACGTGACTGAGGCAATGAGGCGACGCCATATTGGCTCCGCATTCAGTCTCGTTTTTTTCAGCATCCAAGTGTGGTGTCCGATAAAAACGGTGCGATCAGCTCATCAGATTTTTTCCTATCCAAGTTTTTGGTCTGACTAGCTGTCACCTGCGTGGCAGCTGACCCATCGTTTTGCATGGCTTCATACGTATTCACCAGAGTGTGGATACAGGTGGTGCTACTGCTGCGCCGGTAAACATCACATCGGTACACATCAACGTGTACCTACATGGCTGGTTGCTACACAACCCAACAAGGGGTAGTTAGTCAAACAGTAAGGCTAACACTAGATTTTCTAGACCAGTTGTGCTTCCTAGTAAATCGAGCAAGTCCCACCCTCAGCCAACACAACAGTTAGCGTTTCTGGGCAGGGAGTTTGGCTTGGTGCGGTCGCCGCAGACCCGTTGCCTAAACGACCTAGCCGCACGCCTAGTCAGCGTTTCCTCTGTGTCCTCTGTGAGAACTGATGCGGATCATTGGAATTGAACGCAGCCGCCCATTACAGCGCACTTTGTTGCAACACTGGGATCTCTACAGGAACTGGAGAGCGAGTAACACTGTTGGACCAAGCGAGGGATGCCTTGCCCTGGTGGTCAGCAATTGTCAACCTCAGGCAGGGTGTCTCTATGGACTCGCGCGCTACAGCTATGAATCTGGAAACAGATGCCTCCCTTACATGTTGGGGAGCGCACCTATTGGACGAACAAGCCCAATGGAAAATATGGCCCCTGCATTAGATTTAGATCTGCCATAACAACTGGCTCGAAATGCGCTTAGCACTGATTCACTTTCTACCAATAGTTCGAGACCACAGAGTCTTGCTTCGCACGGACAACACAGCGGTGGTCTCCTAGCAACAAGGAGGGGGGGACCAGATCCCTATCGTTGTCAGTCCTAACAAATTCACCTTTGGTACCTGGAATTCAATGTGGAGCTAGCCGCACACCACCTTCCAGGGGTGAGAAACAGTGTCCTCTCATGGCAGCTCCGTCTCCAGAACGCGGCGTGGCGGATACCCAAATGGGTAGCCTCCAGACTGTTTTTGTGATGGGACCATCCAAGGTTAGACCTATTCATTACACCCCAGGACACCAAGCTCCTGACGTACACAACACTTCTGCCGACTCCAGGAGCCTGGGCCAGGAACCCTTTGTTGACCACTGTGTACCCACATGGACGTGTACGCCTTTTCTCCCTTTCCGCTATTAACCGGAGAAACTTGATAGGAGCGCATCTGCACTTTGACATGGATGGCGCCCAATGGGCCAAGCAATGTCTGGTTTCCACTACTGTTGGAAATGTTAGTCGAAACACCAAGGGTGCCTACGGACTTTCGGATCTGCTGTCCCAACCTGACGGCACACTGTCTTTGAGCGATGCGGTGTACCACTCTCAGTTGACTCACTCTGACTTTTTCTGAGTGGGCTGGCCAGAGCGAACACAGATCCCACCAACACAGTCTGATCCCACCAACACAGTCTACGCCTCAAAATGACGTGCATAAACTGATTGCTGTAGTGGGAGATCCATGCCATCCCTCTGTTGGCCAGGCAGCTGACTTTTCGTCCATTGTTTGGACAAAATGGACTTGTCCTTTCAGCTATTGTTGGCTACAGGTCAGCCTTGTGACACACCATATGGGATTCTCCTGGGACGAGGCTAGCTGGTTGTCCTACCATTAGGAAACTGTTTACTGTTTGATCAGAGGCCTAGACTTCAAACGAAGGAACCAACCTATTGGAACTTATCAGTTGTGTTGGCCGCTCTAAGTGGACTGCTCTTTGAGCCTCTCCGATCAGCACCACTCACAATTTTGACATGGAAAACAGTCTTCCTACTCGCCCTACCTCGGGGGTCTATGAACAATCAAGTTGTGTTAAAGACATGAATCGGGTTTCACGCCATGAATCAAATCCCTGGAAGGGATCCACAACCAATTGTCATCCCCCAGCTGGCAACATAGCCAACCCAGAGGATCAGGAGGAGTTGCTTCTGTGCCCGGTACGAGCGCTGAGTTGCTATGAGAGCTGTACTAACGATTTGAGTCATGGCAACAAGCATAGGTTTATGTGTTATGGCCAGGGTAAGGAGGACAGACCAGCCTCCCCGACTTCCATGCCAGGTGGATCACTGTGACCTGGTTCAAGGTTTTAACCATCTGGCTTCCTTGACGCAGGCTTTACAGATCCACCAAGTACAAGCACATGAGGTCTGTGCGATTGCTAACTCATTAGCTCTTGCGTAAGGTGCCCCCCCTTGAGCATGTGCAGAGGGCAGGCTTGTGGAGAATGCAAACGCCTTTACCACTTCTACCTTGGAGATACCCAATCCATTGAGGAGGATCTTTTTAGGGAGGGTCCCGTCATAGCTATGGTTACTGACCCAGCCCGGACGACCTCGGGGATCCTTGCTCATAGAAGATAGAGTACTCTCTGCTACAGATTTGTGCAGAGAAGTTTCTCTCGTAAGCATTCTTTGGAACCTTCCAGGTCTCGCTTTCGATCTATGCCCTCATACAGAACTGTTTCGGTCTTTTCTTTTGAAAGCTACTTACCCAAAGGTTTTGGTCTAGCGTTCTTGTTACCGTCCCGCACTTGGCTTTGTTCCAGGGACGGCACTGGCAAGGTAGGACACCGTTTCTTCACTGGTCTCAACTAGGTGGTCATAGGTAGAAGGTATTATCCTTGTCTGGGACACCCTTTTTATCGTTTTCGGTTCGCTCAGAAACCTGCTGCCTGTCGGCGTCTGACTCTGGTCATTTTCACTGACCGGAGTCTATGGTGGGTATTTGAACGTAGTGAATTTAGGCTACCCACCATAGACTCCGGATCCCCCCAACCACCCCATTTTCCAATGACTTAGTTCTTGGTGCTAAGAAAAAGAAGCAGACTGAATGGGAAGCCAATATGGCGCCGCCTTATTGCCTCGGTCACGTGGATCGTGACGTAAGGGAAAATCTTGAGGTCATGGGGCTTCCCCTGACCTAGATTTCTCTCTCCGTCAATGGCTGAATCGCAGATTAATGCCTACAGCTCAAAATAGTTATTTTGACTGACCGGAGTCTATGGTGGGTATAAACTATGTATTAACTTATAATATATAAACTATTTATTAACTTGTAATATTTATAATCTTTTTAATGCATCTAAAAAATTGAGGATCACCTAAGTTAGATACCATATATATATATAGAGTTATATATCACTAAACACACAGGTTGGATATCAGTGAACACAGGTTATATATCAGTGAACACACAGGATATATATCACTGAACATACAGGTTAGATATCAGTGAACAAACAGGTTAGATATCACTGAACACACAGATTAGATATCAGTGAACACACAGGTTAGATATCAGTGAACACACAGGTTAGATATCGGTGAACACACTGGTTAGATATCACTGAACACACAGGTTGGATATCACTGAACACACTGGTTAGATATCAGTGAACACACAGGTTATTTATCACTAATACACAGATTAGATATCAGTGAACACAGATTATATATTAGTGAATACACAGGTTATACTGTGGAATACTTTATTTTCGCTGGAATTAATTTTCGCTGAAAAGGTATTTTGGGCATTTTGCTTGGAATTTATTTTCACTGAACACACAGGTTGAATATCACTGAACACACAGGTTGGATATCACTGAACACACTGGTTAAATATCACTGAACACACAGGTTATCTAACCTGTGAACACAGGTTATTTATCACTGAACACAAAGGTTAGATATCAGTGAGCACACAGGTTAGATATCACTGAACACACAGGTTATATATCATTGAACATAGGTTATATATTACTGAACACACAGGTTAGATATCACTGAACACACAGACTAGATATCAGTGAACATACAGGCTATATATCACTGAACACACAGGCTAGATATCACTGAACACACAGACTAGATATCAGTGAATATACAGGTCATATATCAGTGAACGCACAGGTTATATATCACCCAACACACTGGTAATATATCACTGACCACACAGGTTAGATATCACTGAACACAGGTGATATATACTAGTGAACACACAGGTTAGATATCACTGAACACAGGTTATATATCACTGAACACACATGTTAGATATCAGTGAACACAGGTTATATATCAGTGAACACACAGGTTGGATATCAGTGAACACAGGTTATATATCAGTGAACACACAGGATATATGTCACCGAACATACAGATTAGATATCAGTGAACAAACAGGTTAGATATCAGTGAACACACTGGTTAGATATCAGTGAACACACAGGTTAAATATTTGTGAATACACAAGTTAGATATCACTGATCACACAGGTTAGATATCAC